CACAAGTTCCCTCCCATACATTTCACTTCAATGCATAAAAAATTACGAACCACTATAGAAAATAATAAAATAATTTTGCCTCAAATGACACACATGGCTAGAAAACTGTAGGCAACATGTTTAGCAAGATTTCAGCAGAAGTGTATGAGCGTGTCTCTATGCGTACGAGTGGAATTCATATGCAGAAGTGTGAGTATGTGTTTGTGTCTGCATGGAAGCACAAAGCTAAATTATCAGATAATGATGATGAAATATTTTACTCAACTAAGGTACCTAGAAGGACCATTTCATTAATTTCTTTTGGAGAGGGATAATGAGAAAAAGTAATTTTTTTCTATTATTTGCATTTCAATAATTAGTAAACATTTTGAGCGACTGGCATCCCCATGTCAGATGATGCTAACTTCCATGTTTTCTGGAGATTATTAATAACCAAAATCATAAGTTCCGAATCATACCTGACAGCTCGAGTTGATAGCATTTTTGTCCCATGCATGGCTCTCTTCACATAACCAAATCTATCAGCCTTAACCAGGTTACCGTTTTCTTTGTCAATGACAAGACCTCTAATGACCTAATACATAAAGGCGGACAATTTGTGAAGCACATAAGAAATTAGAGGCATCATGAACTCCATAAATGCTAAAACAATAGAAACTCCTTACCAAGTCTGGGTCAAATGCAACCCCGTCAACTGGAAAACCCATGTTCTGTAGATTGTCCATGCAGTAATCATATGCTCTTCCTTCCCAAGCCTGGAAGAGTACAACACAGTCTTACAATTCAAACAGTCCAACCAGAGAGGCAAAAGTATTTCAAACCAATTCAAGTAAACAATTTGAACTGATAGAGGACAGTATTGCACAATACACAGCAAATCCAAATCAAAGAAAATAGCCAACATAACAGTGAAACCAGGTTCTTAGGGATTTAAAACAATAAACTTGTTAGAAAATCTAGAGCCACTGATCAAGGCATTAGGTACTCTATTCATTATCAAATCTTTCAGTTTCTGA